AGTTTCTGCTTGAAGGGTACTGATCTCCCCTGTAGCAGCCCCTGTACTAATCATTACCAGAGTCTAAAACATTGCCCTTTTCCTCTGGAGAGCTGTTGGTACAAACTCCAGTATACAGTAAAACTCCGATAGTCCGGCATTCAACTGTGCAGCACTCCGGCATCAAAATGCCAAGCGCTCCTGACCAGCTGATTAAAAAGCCTGCAGCATAAGGTTGGGGGAGGGGGAAAGGAGTGGGATCATGTTACAGTATGGAGAAGAGCGTTTTGCTTCAGCAAAGGAGAGGGGGAGGAGGATCAGGTTACAGCAGGGAGGAGCTGCCAAGAGGAAAGGGGAGGGGAGAGGGAGGGAGATTGTGTCCTGGTCAGCTGTTAAGCCGTGCAGCTGTACCGGACCTCCTGATTCTCCGTAAAATCTGATAATCCGGCACCACCTACGTCCAAAAGGTGACGGATTATTGGAAGTCTACTGTATATTATTGTCATAGGCTGTGTCCAGACTCAGGGTTTTTTTTGAAAAAAGTAGCCTTTTTTCAAAAAAACTTCACCTGCATCTAGACTGCAGCCGCGTTCTTTCGAAATTAAATCGAAAGAACGCGGCTTTTCTTTTGACGGCGGTAAACCTCATTTCACGAGGAAGAACGCCTTTTTTCGAAAGTGCTCTTTCGAAAAAAGGCGTTCTTGAATGCCAACAGGGCTTTTTAGAAAGAGAGCATCCAGAATCACTCGCTGCTTTCTTTTGAAAAAGCGGCTTGCTTTTTCAAAAGTACTGCTTGCAGTCTAGACGCTCTTTTTCGAAAGAGGCTTTTTCGAAAATATCTTTCGAAAAAGCCTCTTTCGAAAGAGGCTTGCAGTCTAGACATAGCCATAGTGTTCGGTAGTTTTTCCCTATTCCTGTCCTGTGCACATCATAAGATTATAGCCTTAACAAAGTAGTTTCCTAAGACTTGTAAAAGCAGACTTGTTGATCAAAACTGAGGTAATATTACAGAAATGTGGAGAAAAGTTTGCTTATACAGTTGTCAAACCCTCATAATCATGAGCATTAAATTTCCAATCACATGCAAAAATAAGTATAACAGAACTGAATGCGTTGTGTTCCTCTCCCCTAGATCTCCTGGGTTTGGAACAAGATGCTGTCTTTGGCCTTGAGTCTCTCTTAGTTCTTTGTAGCCAAGATGGTAGTCCAGGTGCTCAAGCAACCTTAAAGGTAAAGAGAGTCGTCATCTGTCATTTTTAAATCATCAAAATGTAGGGTAGGAAGGGACCTTGCAAAGTTGTCGAATCAAGCCCCCAGTGCTGAGGCAGCACCAAATAAACCTTACAATACATCAATTCTGGTGTACAAAATGTGAGTGTGGTAGATGTTCTAGTGGGGGCACGGTATGCTGCCAGGTAAAAAATCAAAGTTCCTCTGTGCTTTAATCCCAAGATGGTAAAGGATTAGGAGCACACTGAAAAGAGGAGTGGAGAAGTCATGCCTCCTATAGCACAACTAAAGGCAACAGCGTGGATGGTAGGCAGGAGCCGGTACGTGCGGGGAACCGGTTTATAATTGCCGCCTTGCACTGCTGTTAACTACATTTTAACATCTAATGTCACATACGTACGTACGTGTGTGTGTGTGTGTGTGTGTACACTTTAAACTGTGTATTCTTCTGGATGGAGATGCGGTGGTTTGGCAGAATAGATCTCTAGAACAGGTTTATAAATATATCTTGTTTTTCATTAGCACTAACTTTAGTCTGAATGTTGTGATATTTTAATGTTGGAAGCTGCCAGATATTTGGTGTTTGCTTATTGCAGATTGCACTGACTTGTATGGTGAAGCTGGCCAAGTGTCGTCCACATCTAAGCCAGTCAGTGGTTGAGTCCTTGCTGACTCAGTTGCACAGTGCTCAGGATGGTGCTAGAATTCTCATGTGCCACTGTTTGGCAGCAATTGCCATGCAGCTGCCTGTCTTAGGTGATGGAATGCTGGGAGATCTAATGGACCTCTATAAAGTGATTGGACGATCTGCCACAGATAAACAACAGGAACTTCTGGTAAGAAACTGCTGTTCAGGAGAACAGTTGCTTGATAGAACGAAGTCCTCATGGAATTACCACAGAAACTGATATTTCATGAACTGGGTTAGCTAATTGTTATATTGGTGACTGAAAATGCTAATCTGTCCCCCAGTGGGAATATATCAATTCACTGTTAACTGTATACTTGCAAAATGTGGAAATAATAGTATTCAGTATGCAGCCACAGACCTCCGTTGACCTAGCTGGAAGAGAGAACTTAAATGTTTGACCCCTTCTCATCTGTATTCTGTCTCGTAGATGGCACTAGTTATATAAAGGGTGTGTCTAGACTGGCAAGATTTTGCGCAAAAGTGGCCGCCTGTCTACACTGGCCGCGAGTATTTGCACAAGAACACTGACTTTGTACTGTACAAAATCAGTGGTTCTTGCGCAAATGCTCCCACTCAGGGATAAGCCCTCTTGCGCAAGTATTCTTGTGCAAGAGGGCCACTGTAGACAGCCAAGTTAATTTCTTGCGCAAGACAGCCCGATGGCTAAAATGGCCATTGGAGCTTTCTTGCGCAAGAGAGCATTTACACTGGCACTGATGCTTTTGCGCAAAGGCACATGCCAGCATAGATGCTCTCTTGTGCAAATACTTTTAACGGAAACATTTTTCCGTTAAAAGTATTTGCGCAAAATCATGCCAGTCTAGACGCAGCCAAAGACAAACCAGATCATGACAGTGCACCGCTAGAACTCTTGAGGGCATGGATTCTTTGCAGAAGTGCTTCTAGGCAAGAAAGATGGCAGTTCAAAAGTAGATACCCCAGTTTTACATGGGCCTTTTCAATCATTGAGAGAGTTCTAAGAGACACAAACACGTTGAAGAGATTTTAATGAAAGTCTGCTCTGTGCTGCTTCATCTAAGAACTATTCATGATCATGGGTTCCTAAGTGCCTAAATCTCTTTTGAAATTGAGGATCCAGCAATGCCTTAAATACATTTAAAAATCTAGGCTTTAATCTTCAAGAAAGTCTCTTACTCTTTTTTTTTTTTTCCCCCACTTTGTGTAATAATTATATTTGTACAGTGCTTTACTGTAACTTTGCTTGGATGTATTTCTACTTTAACATTCTATTCAAAAGTGTAAATTTGCCAGTCTTCAGTGATGAAAAAACCCTTTCATTGTATGTTTGAAATCCTGAACGATCATTTTACACTCAGAAGTTTTCAAATTCAGAAGCAAATTTTGTCGCGTGTGGGGGTGGGATTTAAAGTCCAAAATTTACTTAACACCATCACTGCTTCTCATGCTTCCTAAAAACATACAAATGGAAAGTTTTCTTCCATATTAATAGTTGTTTTCCATTAGGTATCACTCGCCACAGTGATATTTGTTGCCAGTCAAAAAGCTTTATCTTCAGAGATTAAAAACGTTATCAAACAACAGCTTGAGAATGTCTCCAATGGATGGACAGCATACAGGATAGCCAGACAAGCATCCAGAATGGTATGTGCAAGTTTCTAATGAGAGACTTCCTCAGTAGAAAGTATAATTGGTCACACACTGACTTGGGAAAGGAGAGTTAAGTAAGGAAGATAACACTCAGAACATAAGAATGGCCATTCTGGGTCAGTCCAAAGGTCCATCTAGCCCAGTATCCTGTCTGCCGACAGTGGCCAATACCAGAAACCCCAGAGGGAGCGAACCGAACAAGTAATCATCAGCTGATCCCTCTCCTGTCACCCATTTCCAGACAAACAGAGGCTAGGGACATAATTCCTACTCATCCTGGCTAGTAGCCATTGATGGACCTAACCTCCAGAATCTATCTAGCTCTTTTTTGAACCCTGTTCAAGTCCTAGCTTTCACCACATCCTCTGGCAAACAGTTCCAGAGGTTGACTGTGTGCTGAGTGAAGAAAAATCTCCTTTTGTTTTAAACCTGCTCAGAGGGAGGAAGAAGATGGGGGAACACTGGTTCAGGTTTGTTAAACATAGTTATATCATAAACCTCAGCATTGAAGGATGTTATCTCACCTCATATAAGGTGTCTGTAAACATGTGATGACCAGTGAGTACTGCAGCCTGAAGAAAGGCATGGTTTGATGATTAGGAACTGGGGATGTGTCCTGCAAACTCTACTCCGACTACAGTTTCCTTTTTTAGCTTGGGAAAATCATGTAGCCTTTGCTTATGTGTGTTCTCTATCTGTATAATTGCTATAATGACTTTTTACTACCCTGAAGTAAAGTTAATTTATGTTTAAACACTTTGGAGATTGGAGAAAAAAAACTAATGCAAAATTCTGTATATGTCTTTAGAACTGAATTACTTTGAGCTATCTTGTTTAAACAGTAGTACTTCCTAAAAGATTTTTGTGCATCAGACATGAGCACCTGTGCTACTACTACTCAGCAGGATTGCCTTGATCAAATGTTGAAGATGTCTCTCTGTATTTATTTTTAAAGAGTAGTTTGAGGGCTTCGGGTTTTTGTTTGCTGTATCATTTATTGAAGTGCAAGATCTTCACTTTGTTTACTTGCTGTGCTTTCTTAGGGTAATCATGACATGGCCAGAGAGCTGTATCAAAGCCTGCTGACTCAAGTGGCTTCAGAACACTTCTACTTTTGGCTCAACAGTTTGAAGGAATTCTCCCATGCAGAACAGTGTCTGACAGGGCTTCAGGAGGAAGATTATAGTTCAGCACTCGCTTGTATTGCCGAATCCTTAAAATCTTATCACAAAGGAATAGCTTCACTAACGGTTAGTATACATCCTCTACTGTAGCAATGGTAAGTCTTTGTTGTAGTTATTGTTCTTGATTTTGTTTTTTAACAAGACATTTCAAAGGCTTGGAAAAATTGGTCTTAATGAAGCCTGCGGGAATTATTTTGTGGAAAAGCTCAGTTGTAACTAACTGCTGGTTGGGAGTGGAGGCATAGTCTGTTAGGACACTGTACTGGAACTCAGGAAAACTGAGTTCATTTCTCAGCTCAGTGACTGAATACTTGTGCATGACCTTGAGCAAGTCGCTTAACCTCTGTTGGAATTCAGGATATTTTATCCTTCTGTCTGTAAGCTTTTTGTGCTTGAACTGGTTATCGCTATGTGTTGATTCAAGGCATTGTTTTTTGGGGTGCTTTTACATGCTTTGTTTACACTTTACATCATGTAAATTATTTTGGGAATATAGCCTATGTTCTAAAATGGTCATTAGTTTGAAGTAGCCATGGGAAGGGATTAAATAAACCTGGCCAGATTAGGGATGTAAACATGTAGTCGATTACACGATTAACCAATAAACCGAGGCTTATTGGTTAATCCTATTGACTACATGCACTCACCTTGCTGCCACTGTATGAAAGGCCGCAACGGAGGGCAGGGAGCCTGCCCTGCCCTCTTGCCTGTCTTCTGCAGAGGCAGCAGCATGGGATGGCAGACGGGAGCCAGCATGCACTGGAAGCTGGCTTCAAGTTGGCTCTCCAAACATGCTGACTCCACTGAGCTGCCTTTCTCCTCCCAACCCTCTCTGCTTCTCACAGAGCACTTCCATGGAGTCGCCTTCTCCCCTCCCCCTTTCCCCTCTGAGGCAGCAGCATGGAGGGGGGCAGGTGGGAAAGCTGGCATGTGCCGAGCTGCCCCCTCCCGCTGCTGCTTTTCACAGAATGCTTCCATGAAACTGCCTCCCTCCTGTCTCCCGCAGAGGCAGCAGCATGATGAGGAGAGGGCAGGAGGGAGCCAATGCTTGGGGTGGGAGCTGGCTTAAAAACTGGCTCTCCATAAGCACCAGCTCCTGTAGAGCTGCCTGTTTCTTCTCCCCCACCCATGCTGCTGCCTCTGGGAGTGAGGGGCAAGTGAGAATTAGTACATGTGAGAAGTGGCTTTCGAGTGCGCTCCTTGCGCATATTGGCTCCTACAGAGCCGCCTGTCCCCCATGCTTCTGACTCCTTATCAGAAGCGGGAGCTGGTGTTCACAGGGAGCTGGATTTTAAGCTGGCTCCTGACAAGCACCATAGAATCCTAGAGCTGGAAGAGACCTCAGGAGGTCATCAAGTCCAGCCCCTGCCCAAGGAATGACAAATCCAACCAGCTCCTGCCTGCCCCCTCTTCTCCCCCTTCCCCTCCCCCCAGGTAAAGATGTAATTAATCACTAAAATTTCCTGTGGGTACTGTGTTTACACAAATAGCCAATAGTTAACATCCCTAGTCCACTTAACTATTCAAGGCAAGAAAAATTAACATGGTGTCCAATTGCTGTAGAGCAGAAAATGATGTAATGGTTTAACGTGATGAAAATAATGAGAAGTTGTAAGTACATAAGAACGGCCATACTGGGTCAGACCAAAGATCCATCTAGCCCAGTATCCTGTCTGCTGACAGTGGCCAGTACCAGATGCCCCAGTGGGAGGGATCACAACAGGTAATTGTCACGTGATCTCTCTCCTGTCATCCATTTCTAGACTAACAGGCTAGGGATACCATTCCTACCCGTCCTGGCTAATAGCCATTGATGGACCTAAACTCCATGAATCTATCGTGTGTGTTTGTTTGGTTTTTAGTAGTCAAGCATGGATGCAGCTGGAAAAAATGTTTGTTTTTATATAACCCTTAAGTGCTCACTCTTAAGTCTGTTCAGTTTTATCTAGCCTTTGGTCAAGTTCAAATATTCGTCTCTTCATATTTTTTCCTTTCCATTAATCGGACGTATATGTGGGGGGGTTTCCTTCTTATTTTCCCATGCGCCTTTTGAATGGACCTGAAACTCTGTTTCCTCATTTGTGCTTTAGCATTCTCAATGGCAGCACAGCTCTGTCAATAGTGGTTATATTAATTAACTTCTGCAGTTGAATCAGCAGAGAAGATCTAAATCACGTCTGTGTGTCCTTCATGAATGCAGTGTGCTCTCCCTGCCCTTTAAAATATTATAAAAAGAACAGTAGGCAACCTTTCTTGAAATGTTACAACTAAAAATTCCTACTCATTTGGCCAATAAATTAAAACACAAATTAATGTGCTGTCTTAACAGTTAATACATCCGAAAGTGTAACATTTTAAACAAGCCAATATAGGAAATACTGTAACTGGTTTTCATAAACATTTTCCAAATTCTGTGTTTGTGTTAAATTAGTGGGGATGCTGTTTCCTTTCCTTGCAGTCTGTGCAGGCTTTCCTCCTGATTGCACTTTTGCTTCTTCACCTGGTGGGCTGCTCTGATCCAGAAGATTAAGCAAAGAACTGGAAGTCGCATTTATTGCGGATTGTAAGTTAGGGACACAGTGTCATCTGGACAGATTGCTTAATCCATTTGTGCCCCACACTTACCTGCTTTTCTTTGTGGAGTTTTTTCACGAGGATTCAAAGTACTGTTAGAGCCAAATATTATTTTTAATGCTCCTGACTTCATTCTCCTTGTATGACTGTTAGCCTACCAGTCATTGCTGCTTAAGGGTAGATTGTGTCTGATCATTGCAGTCACTGCATATCCCTGTTGTAGCAATCATGTAGGCAACTCCTTTTGCTGCAGATGTTCCCACCCACATTAAGAATCAGCTGCACATCCTAGGTGCGTGAGGAGAGGGAGAGCTACTCTGGTTTGCCAGAGGAAGTAAAACTTACACATTTGACATTACAACTTGCCAACCGTTGCCTCCACTGAGGCCCTGTGCAAACAACATGGCATCAGTTCTGCCAATGGAATACTACTTATTTATGGCTTTTGGCTGTCATGGTAGCAGGGGAACAACAAGGGCAAGCTGACTGACATCTTTCTAATCACCTCATTACAGCTGGAACACCGCATGCATGTTAACTTGCTCTAACTGTTCAGCCTGCACAGTATGTCAATACCTACTACCTCCATATTCTTCTTTGAGTGGCCCTATGGGTGCTCCACTCTAGGTGTCAGGTCCATCCCAGCACCGCTGGTCGGAAGATTTCAGAGCCATATCTAGCCGGACCGCGCATGCTCCCTGTGCCGCGGGGCATTCACACCCTTTCTAATGTGCGCAGTTTGCACCGCAACCATCCTCGGTTGGTGGCGGAGCTTTACGATCTCTCCACAGACACATAGCATTCTGCAAAGAAAAGTTGTAAATAGTTAATCTTTGCTTGTTAGTCATTCTCTTCAGTTAGTTAGGCGATTAAGTGATTCCTGTCAGTTTCACCAGCGTGCCTGGATCATAGGGTTTTAAGAGGTGTACCCAGTGTAAGGAGGTAAGCAACCATCCTCGGTTGGTGGCGGAGCTTTACGATCTCTCCACAGACACATAGCATTCTGCAAAGAAAAGTTGTAAATAGTTAATCTTTGCTTGTTAGTCATTCTCTTCAGTTAGTTAGGCGATTAAGTGATTCCTGTCAGTTTCACCAGCGTGCCTGGATCATAGGGTTTTAAGAGGTGTACCCAGTGTAAGGAGGTAATGCCGGCTTCTGATGGGCACACGGTGTGTATTCACTGCCTCAGGGAGTCCCATGTCCCTAACAAATGCATTCACTGCTCCAGGTTAACTCCTAGAGCACGGAGAGACAGAGATCTACAGTTGAAACTCTTTCTATGTGATAAGGCTCTTCACCCAAATCATTGCAGCCTCCTATGAGGGAGCATTACCCCTGGAGCTTTGGTGGCAAAAAAGAAAAAAGCCTCTCTCGCCCACTCCCTGCCCGCGGTTCCCATGCCTCTGAAAAGTCAGGGAGACAGACCGGGCACATCGGGGAACAGCCAGCCGATGGATAGATCAATTACACGGCCGGTGACGGGATCATCTAAATCACGCACGGCATCCGCTCCACCGCCAGCCTCTCCTCTCATACGGAGCACAAGAGGGCTACGGCCCCTTCGGGGAATAAGCAACCCCCCACTACAATTGCCACCAATGATTCTTCCGGAAAAGGCACCATCCCCGGAACAGCGGGACTTGCCACGGTCGGCACCAGAGCTGGCACTGATGGCGGCTACTGTGCTGGTGCTGCTTATGGTTCCGCAGGAGCGTGTACCATCCACACTGGAGAAGAGGCAGCACCGGGAGGCCCCCGCTCTGCGGGGCGCCGAGGCGGTGCCAGCAATACAGCCAGCACCGCTAGAGGACAGCTGTTCTGCAGCACATCCGATGCTGCCCGAGCTGCCCTGCTCAGTACTTACTCTGCTTAGGTATCAGCACCGAGACTGCAGACAGTTTCTCCTTCTTCCCTGGACCCACATACCTTATCAGGGGAAGATAACCATACTAACACAGTAGGAGACCTCTCAGCTGCAAGAGAGTACTTGCCATCAGTTCCTACAAAAGCAGCTAGAAAATCGATCCCTAGGGATCATTCACTGTCTCCTTCACCAGTGTTTTCAGCAGAGCCTTCCCCATCCTCATATCCCTCATCAGAAGGGGGAGCTTGCTCTTCTGCATATAGGACTCCGCGATCACCGCGGCGATGATCCCGCTCTCGGCATTGCTGTAGATATGGACGAGTTTCTCCACGCAGATCTCGTTCTCCAAGCTACTCTCCTCCCAGATCATACCGTAGCAGACATGGGAGCAGATGTTCCTCTAGAAGGTCATCTCCTGGGTATGACTATTACTACCACAGGAGCTATCACACCTCGGAGAGAGAGGGCAGATCACAGTCTCATTCTCACTCTTGCTGCTGCCATTCATCTTCTTACAGACAGCGCTCACCACCTGCCTCCGCTCATCAAAGGCCGCAGTCACCGAGACTACCTCCTAATGCCCTCTCAGTGTCAATTCTTTCAGAACCTGAAGAAGGTCAAATCTCGG